TTTTGAACTCACAGAGATCCGCCTGCCTCTGCCTCCCAAGGGCTGGGACTAAAGGTGTGCACCACCAATGTCCAGCTCAGAAATCTTTTAATATACAGAAATGTTTTATAGTGACAATGTGAAGACTTCATTTTATTATTAATCAGATTACTTTATTCAGTTGTTTTTCACTTTATTATTTATTTTTTGTCAGATTACTGAGAATCCTTCAAATCAGTTCTATGAAGTTTGTGTTGTTCATGTAGTAAGAAGTCAAAAATTTGGGGAGAAGGGACAGTGGAACTGGATGATGTGAGGACTAAGTCACTTCTCCAAGGACAAACAGCTAAGTAACAAAACTGGGAAGACGTAGCTGCTGATTTTGTGGGTTTGCAGTCTGCATTTTGAGGAATGTAGGAGACACCCCTGAATCTCTAGTGATATGTCTGTGATGGAGGCCATTGTGGCAGTAGAAATTACCATCTCTCTTTCAGGCTGTTCTCTCCAGGTAGAAATACTTGAAACATTTACCTACAGATCTTGAGTAGATACAGATATTTTGTGGCAAAAGCTAAGAGGTCCTTGGAATTGTGATTTGTATCAACAATAAATTTATTAAGTTTTTTTTTTTTTTTTTTTTTTTTGAAAGAAAGAAAAGGCAGTAATTTTGATTTACAGAGTTACTTGCTAGGAAAAAATAAAGAAGACACTTTATGTTTCATAAGTTAAACAAGGTTAATCTGACTAGGGAATAATTTAAATTTACAGTGAATCACAAATTATCTTTTGCTTTAGCTTCAGACAGGAGAGTACTTGGAAATCACAGCAGAAGTGCTCTCCCGACTCACCTAAAGCAAAGAGGCTTCTAAAGGCTTGGAGATGGGAGCCTGTGCAAACTTCAGGTAACCAGATTGTCTGGAACCTAGGAGCTGTGTGTCACTCTGCAGTAAGGCTGTTAGTACAGTTAGTTACAAAGATGGGTCCCTCAAAATGTTAAGTATGGAATTGAGTTCTTTTTCCTTTGAAAAGCTTTAAAGTATCTTAATTTTATTTTATCTTACTCATTTTAATTTTTGAGACGGGTCTCTTCCCCGGGTTGCTAAAGGCAATCCTAAATTCCTGGGCTCAAACTATCTTCCCACCCTAACTAGGACCGAAGGCATGAACCATGAAGTCTGCCTTGTTTCTACTTTTAAATTTCTTTTAAAAATACATCTCAAAAAGCATGCACATCTAAAAATTTTACATAAAAAAATTACTAGTGTCCATTTAAAAAATATATTAGTGTTTGTGTGTGAGTATGTACATGTGCGTGTGGAGACCACTTTGTGGGACTCAGCTCCCTCTTGCCTCCTTGTTTTTGAGGTAGTTCTCTGTTTCTGCCAATGCCTCTACATACAAGCTTGTAGCCATTTCTCCCATCTTACCTCCGTCTTGCCATAGGAGTGGTAGATGGAGAGAGGAGCCTTTCCTGACATGGATCCTGGGATGAAATTCAGCTAGTCAGGCTGAATACAACAAGTATTCCACTGGAAAGTCACCAGCCTTAGTTTCATGTTTTGTTTTTTTTTTTTAAACTAAGCAAATTACCTTAAACGATAATAGAATTAGACTTTATAACAAATTGCAGAATAATTTTTTCTGTCAATGTCAAAAAATTTCCTTTGTGGCAGGTTTGTGTAATTATTGTGAAGAGATGCCATTCAAATACTCAGTATCTGTATGTCCTCCCTCCCTCCCTCCCTCCCTCCTTCCTTCTTTTTATTTTTTTATTTTTTATTTTTCAAGACAAGGTTTCTCTGTGTAAAGTAGCCCTGGCTGTCCTGGAACTCACTCTGTAGACCAGGCTGGCCTCGAACTCATTGAGATTGCCTGCCTCTGCTTCCTGCCCAGCCTATATTTGCTCCTATACTCCTGGCAAGAAAAGCCTTTGGTTATCTGTTAACATTCACTTTATGTAATATCTTGTTCCTTTATTTTCTGACTGTTTTTCTCTTCCTTTTTTGTCACATCTGTTTAAATGACATGAATTGGGTATGCCATGTTTCAGTGAGAGTTACCATCTGCTAAGGTTTTAATTTCTTTTATTTGTACTTAATAATTTGATTACCCGTACTCAGAATTTATTTCAAGACTGAATTATATTTTACTCTTTCTGGAGCCAGGGCAATGAGTTGTGAAGGAAGGATGGCTCCTCAACTTTCTCACCATCACCAAAATTAGCTGTCAAATATTTTGATCTCCCTGAAACTCTTAGCCATCCTCCCTTAACCCCCCTAGTCCTTCCATTCCTGGTCAACCAATTAAACTATTCAGCTGTTTTACTCTCAGTTCAACATTTTCACGGTTAGTCTATGTTCGAGTACGCATTTATATATTGATGTTTTATCTCCTTTACTTGACATGACGTTAGTTCTGTTTGAATGGATGTACTACACGTTCCGCGTTTGCCGGCAGGTGAAATGTAGGCGGCTGTCACTGGGGACGAGCTCAGGCCCTCAGGCTTGTGTGGTGAGCATTTTACCAATTGAGACGCTTCCTCAGCCTCCCCTGCTTCTGTTAAGATAGGGCCTCATGTAGCCCGGTCTGTCCTTGAACTTGTTATATTCCTGAGGCTGGTATCTCCAAATGTTGGGGTTACAGGCATGTATAACCATGTTCATCTTGTCTTCACATTTTGACTATTAGGAATATTGCTGTTAGAATCATCCGTGTGTACTTTTTATATGTTCTGTTGCATACCCTGTACAATGTATTTTCTATTAATAAACCACCCTAAAGCCTAGTAATTTTCCGTTGTGAAAGCATGCTGTCATGGACTACACTAATGTTGGCTGGGTCAAATCATGTATCTGTCCAGTTGGTGGTTCCAAATAGCTGGCTATTCTAGAATAGCACAACATGGTGCTAGTAGGCTAGCCGAGGCGTGCACGCTCTTAGAGCTGAGCAGATCGGAGGCGAAAGAACAAGCAAAGTTCAGTTGTGCAAGACAGCAGGCAGTTCACATTTACATCTCAACCTGTGCTGGGCCACGTTCAGTAATGCCATACTGCCAGGCATCACAAGAGTAGCCAAGTCACGTAAAGCAGCCCAGAGTCAGAGTAGACAGAAGGCTTGCAGAGCTGCAGACCAGAAGGTGTGCCGTTAGAGAGCCATTAATCGGGGCACTGACGCCATCCGTTCTCGCCTCTACCCTGATGCCTTTGCATCTTGTACTGGCTTTCTCTTTCAGATACGCGTTCTGAACTGGATGGCTGCTCTTCCTTTGCTGTTGCTTGTTAGCGTGTCTTTAAATCACAGTCTGGCATGCTGTGTTTGTTTAATGCTTGACTGCACGGCTAGAATGTGTATTTCATGAGTCAAGGACTAAAACCAAGGCACTTAGTGAATTGTTGGGAGGAGGTGTTAGTAGTGGAATGAACTAATAGAGACAAGGACATAATCAGTGTCTGGTATGAGGTAACCTCTGCATAAAGTTGATATAATATGTTTGGTACAATATTCTTAGCACCTCCTTGTTATTAGAGTGTCCAGAGCAAGTTAAATAGATAACCGGAGAGACTTGAATATTAGAATTACAAAATCTGAAAAAAAACTGTTTTTTGGAAGATAAGAAGCCATCTGTAGTAAATGAGCCAGATACCTCTTTCTTTAAATTTTACTTTATTTTATGTATATGAGTAATTTGCCTGCATGTATATGTGTGGATGGTTGTGAGCCATCATGTGGATGCTGAGAACTAAACCTGGGTCCTCCGAAAGAACGCTTAACCTGAGCCATCTCTCCAGCCCATAATAGCATATTTATAATATTCACATTCTAAAATACTATTTTAGAATTTATAAAATACATTAAACCCCTAAGCATACACTTTGACTCTTCACCTCTCAAGCCTCCTTTTCTCATCCCTCACTTGGTGGACGTTGTTGAGTCTTAAAGTTACCACTCCTTGTCCTGAGTCTTAAAGTTACCACTCCTTGTCCTGTAGTCCTGTAGGCCTAGGCCTCTCTTCTCAATGGGGTCTTACTGTGGGCTCTGCTGAGTGAGTGCCGCGTATCTTTGACTAGCGAGAATCATGGCAGTCACAATTGGAGTCACCCTCGCGTGAGTGTGCTCCTACATTCATGCTGATGCTGATGCTGATGCTGTGGTGGCGGTGGGGAATGGCACAGGCACGCTGTGACAAGAGTGGAGGTCAGAGGACCCCTTGCAGGACCTGGTTCTGTCCTTCCTTCCACCGCAGGAGTGAGTGCTGGGGATTGAACTCAGGCGGTTAGGCTTGGGGGAAAGTGCCCTCACCATTGAACCACGTGCTTTTAAAAAACAGTTTATTATTTGTGTGTGTGCGTGTGTGAGTGAGTACAGGTGCCTGGCTGCCATGGTGCTTGTTCATGGAGGTCAGAGGGCGACTCTGAGACGTGGGTTCCTCCTCCTGTGCTGTGTGGTCCAGAGGTTAAGGTTGGAGGCCCCTGCAGTGTAATAATCCAAGTCAGGCAAGAAGGAAATCAGGTTCAACACAACTTAGTTAGCCAGTGTTGGTTCAAACTCCTGTATTCTTTCATAAAAATAATAATATAAATTCAGTCAAGTTCACACTGAAGATTAACCAACACACTAACAAACCCTAAAAGGCTTTTCCTTTCTGGTGGAGAACCCCAAATTTGGGGGAAGAGGAAACTAGATTTTCATACTTACTTGTAGAATTTTAAGTGTAGGTTCCACAGTATAGAAAATGTGTTATTTGTATTTCTGAGTCTGGCTTATTTCACCTAATATAGTAGTTGCCAATTTTGACTGTTCATTCCGACTATACCGGTATTATCTGAATCTCTATTTATAGGTGGGGATATAGTACTAGTATAGGAAAAAGGTTAAGTTAATTATTAATTATTATAAAACTCCTCTAAATTCTAAAACCTTGATAGTTTATTAATAGTTGCTACATTTCTATTTCTACTTTAAAATATTGCTAATTACTTGTTTAGCGATCTTTATTTAAATTCCTTTATTTTTTTCCTTAGGTATGGAATATCAAGCAAATGATTAAACTGACCCAGGAACATATAGAGGCCCTGTTGGACAAATTTGGTGGCGAGCACAATCCACCATCAATATACTTGGAGGTGAGTTTTTACTACCTTTTTGTAGCAATTTTGAGGGCAATGTATAAAAATGTTTTCTAGGAACACTGGTTATTTTAGAGAATATAATTAGAAACATATTTAGCTTTCCCAAGGCCAGTGAAGGGCAGTACCCGCTCAGCATGCCCCTCAGATTTTAGCACACATGGTTCATACGGCTCTGTGATAACATGGTCCACAGAGATCAGCACAGACCCCAGCTGCAGCAGGGCCACCATAGCCCCAGTGATGGAACAGGCCGTGCAGATCAGTACAGCCCTGGCGGCAGCATGGCCCTCAGACACCAACCTGGCCTCAGGTGGCTGACCAGACCCTGGCTGGTAATTGGGCCACAGACCCAGACACGGCCCTAGGCTGCAGCTCAGGCCCAGGTGTCACCTCCTCCAGTGGCAGCCCAGACCCCAGGCATTCGCCAGCCCTTGGTGGTAACAAGAGCAACAGACATCGTCTCAGGACCTGCTGCAGGTAGGGCCATGGACCAGACCACGACCTTTGGTGGCAGCATAGGCCACTCAGGCCTGAATGGTTCCTGTGTTGCTGGGTTTTCTTTGCCACCAGGTTGGTCTCACGGCCACTTCCCCCAAATGAGCACACAGATGCTGCATTAGTTATAAAACTGTTGGCTGGTTGTCTAACTCTGTCTCAGTTATTAACCCATTTCTATTAATCTTACCGGAGGACACCTGGTGCGTCTTCTGTCCGGTCCTTAATGTGGCAGCTGTCTTTGTCCAGCTCCCTCTGCCCACCTTTCCCAGAATTCTCCTCGTCTCCTCACCCTGCCCATCTTCCTGCCTCATTGGCCAACAGTGTTTTATTCATCAACCGATAAGAGACACACATATACAGAAGGACGTCCCCCATCACCCCTGCGACGGCATAGCCCTCAGAGACTAATATGGCCACAGTTGGCTGCCCAGACTCCAAGCTTCCGCGAGGCCTTGGCTCCTGCAGGTCACCTCCCCACGCACATCCACTCATCATCAGGGCGCCTATCTGCCCGGTGCTGCAAGGGTGCCTTCCGCTAGCGGGAGCTGCGGTACAGGAGGGGCTGTGCCCTCCTTTCATCTTAGCTTTGAGACAGGGCTCACCTAAGCTTGCATAGGCTGGCTTTGAACTCTTTGTAGCCTAGTGCTCGCTTGATACCTTTGATCTTGAGAATAAATTTGAACACAATGTTATTTTCAAAATGAATTAAATGTTAGGAGATTTGGGGATTCAGGAAAAAATAGAAAAAGAGTAAATCTTATAAAGAATGTCAGATTCTATTTTTTAAATATTCAGATAATTTTAAGGTTTTTGTTATTGTTGTTGTTTGTACATATGTATGTGAATACATAATACTAACAGGTAGCCTGGTTTTATTATTTTCTCTAGCAATGGACCATAATATGAGCCCATATTGTTATTGTTATTGTCATATTTTATATTATCCCTTAGAAGCCAGTTTGTTTTCTAATAGGAGACAGAAAGGGGGTAGATCTTGATGGGGTAGCAGTTGAAGAGGAACTGGGAATGGTTGAATAATAGGATTTTACAAAAATTGGAATTTAGCAAACTAGTCAAGAAAGAACAAGAATTAGATAGTCAGATATGCAATTGATGGCGATGCTGGAATAATAATTTATAACGCACGGGAAAGAGTGCAGGAAAGACCCAAGTCTAGGAAGGGTTAGAGGTGTCAGTGTTGACCCGAGTGTGTTGATGTGCTAGTGAGATATAAAGTCAAGGTGGAATAGGGTTCATTCAGGGGTGAGAACGTTCCAGACGGTGATCCTGGCATCAGTTAATCTTTTGTAAAGTATATGGAATGAGTGTCTATGAGTCTTGCGGACAAAACAGAAATAAATGCCTTTAGAGACAAGATACAGACATTTCTAGGACAGGGATATTAGAAGAGTAGTCAGATTTGACAATTAGGATTAGCGTAGCTGTGAGGAAATGCCACGAGCAAAGCAACTCAGAGAGGTGAGTGTTCGTTTGGCTTACGGTAACCCTAGTCACAGGTCAGGGGAGCCAAGGCAAGGACGCAATGGGAGCAAATATGGAGGCAGGAGCTGGTGCAGAGACCAAAAGCGAGCGCTGCTCAATGGCTGGCTTGCCCTCCAGGGTGTGCCCAGCCTGCTTCCTATTTTCAATGTTTTCCTTTTATTGAAAATAGATGTATTCCTCATATAGTACCCTGATTATGATTTCCCGCTCTCCACTCCTCCTAGACCCTCCCCATTTCCCCTCCCATCCACATCCCCTTCCTGTTTCCTGTTGGAAAAATCTTCCAAAGGGATACTAATAAAATAAGATAAAACAAGATAAAACAAGAACTAACACACTGGATGAATAGGACAAAACAAACTAAATCTTGTCCCTTGCCAATCTCTCTAGTCTTGTTTCCCTGTGTCCCTATTTTTCATTTAAATTTTACAGCCATATGTCAGTCTCTTCTGTTTCCTGCATATTACATAACATTCAACCATACTTTCCCTCCAATGTCTTTTTCTTTGTTTTTGTTTTTGTTTTTTTGTTGTTGTTATTGTTTTACTTTTTGAGACAGGTTTCTCTCTGCATAGCCGGCTGTCCTGGAGCTCACTCTGTAGACCAGGCTGGCCTTGCACTCAGAGATCCGCCTGCCTCTGCGTCCCGAGTGCTGGGATTAAAGACCTGCACCACCGCCACCCAGCTTTCCCCCAGTATCTTAAAGATACCCTACCTTCTTACTTCGCTATAAAGTTCTTCTGTACTCTGGCCTCCCTATTTCTTCCATCCTTATAAGTGACTTTCTAAGCCCTGCCTCACTCCACATTCTCATCTCTTATCAGGGATGCTATTTCTTATGCATAATACACAAATAGAAATACTTCCATCTCTTTCTCCATAGCCCAGTAGTAAACTTTTTAAAGTTCTGATTTAGTGTGTGTGTCATGATGCACTCAACGTGCAGTACATGCACATGCGTGTGGAGATGAGAAGCCAACTTTCAGGGGTGGGTTCCTCCCTTCCATTGTGGGCTCCAGGGGTCAGACTCACGCCCTGAGGCTCGCTCAGCTCACACTTTGACCTGCCATCTTCTAGCCAGGCGAACTCCGTGAGAAATGGAAAGTGCCACATGAAAACTTTGATTCTCCCTTGTAGAGTTTCATAAATGTTTGTTGAATGAGCTACATCTACTTAGAATGGTAGAGAACAATAGTAGACTATGGGCTAAAGGGTTTCCACTGTCTGAAAGAACTGTGAACCTTTCTATTCCAGTTAATCATGACTTTACTTTCGGTATCATTCTATTCTTAGAATTTGGTATTTTATATATTGTAGCCTTTGTCAAATGGAATATTTATTAGGCTATTCTGTTAGTGGCCCAGAGTCTCCTGTGATTGCAGAGTATCAAATAATTTCTTACTTGCTAAATGGTATTTGATGGGGAAGGAGGTAGTTAGGAATCTCTAATGAGACAGGGTTCTTTAAAAAACAAACCATTTTAACGGATAACTCTATCTGTTTCAGAAAGAAGATAGTAGCCACAAACCATCTAAGCCCCAGCAAGGTTTGATAGAGACAGAGACCAGTGTGATCTGGCACTGTGGTTCTGTGTAGCTCATTTTGGAATTTTAACCTCACTCTGATAACCATTTCCTTTACTTTCTGTGTGAGTTCATGCGTGCATGCTCATATACATATTACCACATCATATTCAGAGTCATACAAATGGAATCATCCATTTCAAAAAAGTATAGCAATGATTGTTTATTGCCAATGCCTATTAACCTTGCTGTGCCTGCAACTTTTCTAGAAAATAGAATTATATAGAAGAAGAGACATCTATCCTTGACCTAACCTATGTAATACTTTATACATAGTCTTCTGCTAAACTTGTGGTTTGGAAAATAAATTACTCTTTGACCAGAAAGTTGGGAATTACTGGTTTTTAAATTAACATTTAAGGAGCATGTAGAAACAACATATGTAGGCCAAGTTTCCCAATATAGTAAACTAATGTCCTATAACATTTTTCCCTTGAAAAGGAAGAGTGTCCATAGTACTTTCAGTATTACTTTGTAATTTGTAGCTTAAAACCCTGTTTTAGATTATAAAGAAGTTATGAACAAAGACTGAAGTCATGTCTCTTTTGTGAATGTCAGAGGAAACTGTTCTATGTGAGTGTGCTTTATTTTATAGGCCTATGAAGAATACACCAGCAAGCTAGATGCCCTCCAGCAAAGAGAGCAGCAGCTGTTGGAGTCCCTGGGGAATGGGACTGAGTTCTCTGTTTCTAGCTCAGCGTCCATGGACACCGTTACGTCCTCCTCCTCCTCTAGCCTTTCAATGCTACCTTCATCGCTTTCAGTTTTTCAGACTCCCACAGACGTGTCACGAAACAACCCCAAGTCACCGCAGAGACCCATCGTTAGAGTCTTCCTGCCCAACAAACAGAGGACGGTGGTGAGTCAGGGTTTATTGCAATCTTTTAGCCATTTCTTTGTGTTGAACATTATCACCGAGTGTTGAGAGCCTTGCAAGTGGAACCACCCATTTCAAACAACGATAGAAAAGACATGATTGTTTTGTGCCAAAGCCTACATAGTTACGAGATTTCTCTTTTTCTTTCCTTCTTTTGCTTTTTATTTGCTGGGGTTTTTGTTTGTTTGTTTGTTTGTTTTTTTGTTTGTTTTGAGACAGAGTTTCTCTGTGTAGCCTTGGCTGCCCTGGAACTCTGCTTTGTAGACCTTGCTGACTTCAAAGTCAGAGATCTGTCTGCCTCTGCCTCCCGGGTGTTGGGATTAAAGGCGTGCGCCACCAGCCCCAGTCAGGGTTCTTTTTAAATTTTATTTAATTATTTGCTTTCTTTTTTTAGACATGGTTTCACTATGTAGCCTTGGCTGGTCCAGAGCACACTGTTCTGCATAGCTGGCCTCCAACTAACCCATCTGCCTGCCTCTGCCTCTCAAGTGCTGGAATTAAAGGTTTGTGCCACCACACCTGGCCATCCATCAAACTTCAATGGCACTTAAATGTAAGTACCAGTTAGGAGTCTATTAGGAGGCTGGAGCAATGGCTCAGTAGTTAAGCGCACTGCCTGCTCCTTCAGAGGGCCTGAGTTTTAGTTCCCTGCATGTATGTGTTGAACCACACCATCTGTATTGTAATTCCATTGGGGGGGGGTTAATGCCCTCTTTTGGCCTCCAAGAATGCCAGACCTGCATATGGTGCCTTTTCAAACTGGCAGGCAAAACACTCAAAAGCTTTTATTTTTTTTTTTTTTAAGAGGTGATCAGAATTTCTTGATTTAAGCTTTTATCAGGTAAGATTCTTTCATCTGAGTAATCTCTGTTCTAAGTTCTCAGAAGTTAACTTTCAGTGCACTTACTATTTCTCTTGTTTGTACAACTTTGTAAAAATTGTTGTTACTAGTATTGCACCAGTGGTGGTGCACGCCTTTAATCCCAGCACTGAGAGGCAGAGGCAGGTGGCTCTCTGAGTTCAAGGCCAGCCTGGTCTACAGAGTGAGTTCCAGGATGGCGGCCAGGGCTACACAGAGAAACCCTGTCTCCGTCTGGGGAGGGGGAGGAACCCACAAAACCAAGTATCATCAGATAACTTGTAAGAAACATTTAAAGCTGTGAGATCTGCTGAGTTATTATAGATGATCTGAAGTCTTCAAGTAGAGCAAATGTCAGCCTTAGTAAATAACATTTCTATAACTCAGCCCAGTAAGTTCTTAATGTATATGTAGGTTTTCAAATAAAATGTACATTGTTATTTTTTATGCCTCTGTGTGTGTATGTCTGTGTGGGTATGTGCACTTGAATGTGGGTGTCCACAGAGTGCCAAGAAGGCCTTAGGCCCCTAGGGACTGAAGTTACAGGCAGTTTAGTTGTGAGTCATGTGGTATGGGAGCTGAACTCTGACTTCTAGAAGAGCAGCCAGTGAGGCGTTTCTCCAGCTTTATATGGTTGATTTTAATACAAAGTTAACAAAAAGTTCCAAGTCAGCTGAAATCAAAGAAACATTGCTTTGTTTTCCCTGTGAAACAACAGAAATTCAAGGTACAATTGGTATTTTTCAGTATTCCACAATATCTTTTGATTTTTAAAAATGTTACTATAAAGAGATTAAATGCTACTATACAGAATTTCTGTGTTAATGATCAGATTGAGAGCTAGCAGAATTGCCCGCTTCCTGCATTTGGAGAGATTTTGATCTTCCTTAGAGAATTGTTTCAGTTCTCTAACCCTTCTTCCTTTTTGACATATATAGATTAATTAAAATTGCTCTTCCCATTCTTCCTGAGTAATATCTTTGTGTTGATGCCTCCCTAAAAGGGGAAACATGGTATAAAATTATTTGTAAATAGAAATTCTACCTCTGAAACATCCCGTGTTACAAAAAGTTTATGGACAGCCATCTTGTCCCCATCTGCCTTCTTAGAAAGTGGAAAGCATTAGGGCTGGAGAGATGCTCCATAGTTACAAACTGACTGCTCTTGCAGAGGACCCTGGCTCTAATCCCAGCCCCCGTGTGGCAGCCACAGCCATCTGTAACCAGTTCCCAGGTACCCAGTGCTTTCTTCTGGCTTCTGTAAGCACTGTGCGTGTGATACACAGACTTACATGGAGGCAAAACATCCATAGACACGAGAGTTAAAAATAGATGTCTGAAAAACAGTATGAAAAGGGTTTAGGGTATTGGTTGCACAATGGCATGAATTTTAACCTCACTGAGAAGTTAACATTTAAAAATAATTAAGATAGACTTTGTTCTGTGTATACTTCAGTGCATTTAAAAAGGAATAGTTTGGTAATTATATGCATGACCCAACCAGTTTACTCTGGTGTGTTTATCCAAGCATGAAAATTAAGAATTTATAAGTAAATGTTGCTTTGATGTTCTGTTTCTCATAACTCCAAATTCCAAATGTCCATCAACAGATAAACTGTTAAACTGGTCCTTGGGGAATATACCTGTAATCCCAGCTCTGGGGATGAAAACCCAGGTAGTATAACTTCAAGGCTAGCTAGAGCTACAGAATGAGATCCTGTCTCAAAAGTAAATTTTAAAAAGCTAAAAAAAAAAAAAAAAAAAAAACCAGGGATTTTAAAAGAAATTGTGGTATATCTGTACAAAGAACATTATTTTAATAGAAGAGAAACTACCGATATGTCCAGCATTCACCATAGAAGAATCTCAAGAAGTGTGCTGTAGAAAAGAAAGCAGACAAAGTGGAATATACTTTGTAATTCCATTTATGTAAACTTTTGAAATGTACTCTTGGTCATATGTAGTAGTGACACATATAATCCCAGCACAAAATAGTTAGAATATTAAGTACTGTATTTAAACATAGTTGTTAGGCGTTTGTTTGTTTGTTTGTTTGTTTTTTAACATGGGGTCTCAAAATGCTTTTCCTTCATTTCCTATGCTGATCTTGAACTTGAGCTCTTTCTACCTCTGCTCCCCTCGGGTACTGTGATTACAAGGGTACCCAGCATGTCCAGCTAGTGTCATTCTTTTTTGCTTGCTTGCTTGCTTGCTTGTTTATTTGTTTGAGACAGGATTTCCCTCTAACCACCTTGGCTGCTCTGGAACTCATTTGCTGTGAATTCACAGAGAGATCTGCCTGACTGCCTCCTGAGTGCTACGATTAAAGGCATGAGCCACCACACCCAGCCTGAATGTCATTCTTAATATCATATACGGGTAGGCCATGAGCATAACAATTAAAGAATATATACTTTTTTCAGGATACCTAGAGATAGGATCTCTCGTTGGTCTGGAACTTACCATAGATAGTAATCTAGATGGCCAGCAAGACCTAAAGATCTACTGTTCCTTGCCTTCTCAGAGCTGGGATTACACGCACATGCCACCACATCCAGTTTATTTACGACAGGGCAGTTTTACGACAGCACCTGTGAGTGTATGAACAAGAAATGAGCCTTGTGACACCACCCAGAAGCCCTAGCGAAAGCAGACTTCCTGGGCTAAGCGCGGGCTTGGATAGTTCAAATTAATTTCATTGGTCCACATTGGATGCTATAAGATTGCTTTGTTGTAACCCTATAAAAGCTGTCTGAACCCTGTACCCAGGGTTCCCAGTCCCCTACTTCCATGTTGAATGTGGCTGTGGAACCCAGAGCACTGGAATATAAAATGCCTCATGCTTTTGCATCAAGACCGCTTCTCTTGAGTGATTTATGGGGGGCGCCTTTCCTGAGTTGGGGCATGAGGGACCACGCCCTCCGCGGATCTTACACTAGCACTCAGCATCCTGAGTGCTGGGGTTAAAGGCGTGCCGCCATTCCTGGGTCACATCTAGCCTTTTTACTGAGCTCTCAAAGTTCAGGTCGTCATGCCTGTGTGGTAAACACTTTACTGAGCTCTCTCCCCAGCCCTTTGGGTGTTTTTGAAACAGAATCTCATCTTTAATTCAGGCTAATCCTGCTGCCTCAACCTCCTGAATGTTAATTGCATTCTAGATGTGAGCCAGGAGGTGGTGACACACGCCTTTAATCCCAGCACACTGGGAAGCAGAGTCAGGCAGACAATCTCTGCGTTTGAGGCCAGCCTGGTCTACAGAGCGAGTTCTAGGACAGCCTCCATAGGTGTTCGGTACCATGCCTGGCAGAGGAAAGGGTTTGTTGGCTCACACTTCCCGGCCACGGTTGAAGGAACTGGGACAGGGATGGAAGCCGAGGCCATGGAGAAGCCCTGTTTGCTACCATGCTCCCATTGCCTCTCAGCCTGCTTTCCCATCCCATGCAGACCGCCGCCCAGTGTGGCACCCTCACACTCACAGCAAGCATTAGTCAAGAGAATGCCTTCAGCTTCCCAATTAAAATCTACAAATCTCCGTTCTACAGGCAAATCCTACAAAACGTTTATAGAATTGTAGAATGCCAGTCATAAACTTTATATCCTCAACCACATGAGAGTCTCTCTCAACAAAAGAAAAACAATAGGTTGTTTGTGGGTTTTCTATTTTTAGATATTTGGAAAGTTGTAAATATTGAGGAAAATATTAAGAACAATATATTAAATAGCTCCTAGTGAGCTACAACAAATAAATTATTAATATTTGTTTTATATTCTCCATACCCAAAATACATTTTCTTGTCAATCACATTCTCCTGTTGAACATCTTGCTCCCTACTAAAAATAACCCTTTTGATAAATGTTGTGTACATTTAGTCACATTTGTTTTTTTAAATGATAAAGTAGGATAGTACCATACGTATGAAATGTCCAGGATTTTATTCAAAATTTGGACTTCAAGCTGTGCATTTATATTTGTTAATTAAAAACAAATTTTAATGAGTTCGAGGCCAGCCTGGTCTGCAGAGTGAGTTCCAGGACAGGCTTCAAAACTACAGAGAAACCCTGTGGGGGGGCGGGAGAGGGGGAACGACTGTATTCATTGCATTGAATTGTTATCAGCTATTCTA